CTACTGCTGTGATGGGTGGAGGGGATAAATATGGGGATGATTAATTTAAGACAGCTTTCCAATAATGAGATATTCTGTACATGGACAATTATAATAAAATTTTCCATATTCCAGCATTCATATTTCCATAAATTTTCCATATACAGAATCTTCAACTTACTCATCTTGGATTCAGTAGATATGGTATTTTATTGATTGCTCTTTGAAAATTTTACACTTAGATAAGCTATAATCCCTGGTCCCTAAACAAATATCAATTTCCAGTCCACTGTTAATCAGGTATAATAAAAATTATATCATACTGGATACATTAACTTTTGTGCCAGAAAATGATCATTTGAATTTCTAAAATTTGCAAATGATGTTTTATTACTATGTGCATAAGACTTCAAGTAGACATTTTCCAGACTGAAGTAATTCCTGATTAAGTTTGTTTTTTTTTTTAACTCATGGTACAGAGGGGTCTCAGTGATGCCAACAATACCATATTTCTTCTCTTCAATGAGAATTTCCAATACCTCTGGCTATTACTCAGACTTCTAGCATTGGTTTATAAGGATTGTACTGAAAAAAAAAAAGCCTCTCTTCACATTCTTTGTCACCTAAAGTTTATATGTTCTACAACCCCTGACTGAGTTACATGGCAGATGGTGAATCTACAAGGTATAGGTCTAGCATTCACATAACCCAAATAGCAATCATTGACCAATCTAAGGAGAGGGTTCAATCTTTTGCCTGATGTCAGGACACTGCACTTTTGATGTCTAGGAAATGCAAAAGAGCCTACTGCTGTGATTAAATGGATTTGCCACTTTCTGCAACAGAAAAGCCCAGGGCCCCTGGTACATAGTCATTTAATGGCACAATGGAACTGAATGGCAGAATGTGCAATTTTGGGATCAGGGATCAGATTCCAGACACACCATTACTACTTGTTAATGCAGCCTGAACCAGGATCATGATCCTCAGCTTCCCCTGCATCATTAAGTTGAAAGCTGTGGAAGGATTGCCTTGACTCAGGGCTGGAACCAATAATCATCTGTTGTCCTCAGTCCTGGAATACACGGGGGTCATTCTGAGACTGGTGTGGTCTCAAAACTGGGGCTGGTCCCAGAGCCCCTTCTACCAGGATGGCGGAAAACCTTATGTGCAGCTCAATTGCACAGTTGTTTTCTTGGGGTTTTTTAAGGTCCTAGTACACCAGGACCCCAAGATTGAGGAGAGGTTCCCCTATCCCAGGATCCACCTAGATAGCAATGTACTTTTTAAAGGTCCCAGTGCACAGGAATGACAGGATCATGGAAACTCCATGGCCTGGGTGTGTCAAGTGTCTTGCTCTTCAACCCCAAGGGAGCCTGCCAGTTTGTAGTGAGCCCTGCAGCTCCCCAAAATCCACCCTGGTTGTTTTCCTTGCCCTGAAGCTCCAGCAGGGGCTGGCAAAGCAGATTCTGGTGCTGGGTCATAGTGAGCTCCAGCTTCCCATGACACAGCACCAAAGCATGCCTTGCTCCTTTAAACACCATCAGAGCTGTGTTGCAAGGGCAGTGCCAAGTTAAGTCATGGGGTGGGGGGGTCCAGGGTATAGCCTGTATGTGAAAACTAATGAACTCCTCTTGACTGGCACCCTACAAACAGCAGTGTGCAGGTCCATTGAAGGCTCCACATATGCCTATCAGCCTGCAGACATGAAGTGAGCTATCAATCAACCCCTCCAAGCAGCTGGCATTGGGCGTTGCATGGTGGGGATACCCTGTCTCATGTTCAATTTAAGATATGATGGAAAACAGCCAAAAACCATTACACCTATTTGTGGAATACTTTTGTGGCTGGTTTCCCATATTAGAAGAACACCCTATGCCAGTGATCAGCACAGGTCCGATGTGGTACCATGGGGGATTAGTGATATGCAGCTCAGGTCAGTGTGCCCTGTGTCATGCTAGCAATCTCTTTTGCAGCTTTCTCTGCTTCCCTCTCTCACCCTGTACGACAGACATTGCTTACCCTCTCCAAACTGACTTTGCCTTCCTTCTGTGCCATTGAGGACCGGAACCAGTGGTGCATGGAGCAGGTGGTAGAGATGGGAGGTGGGTGGCAGACACAGCAGCAGGTGGCTGAAGAGAAGATAGGTGACCCACAGTAGGTTTCAATGGCCTGAAGCAGAGACTGGGTTGCAAGCAATCACTGGTTGTAAAAGTTGCTATTCAGCGGAACAGTTTTTGTACAAGAAAGAGTGGGATTAAATCATTTAACTCCATAAGTCTACCAAATACACTTTCATTATCTATTGAAAGGATGAAACAGCATGTACTTCTCAACTACCAATGCGGAAGTACAAAGGAAAGTATAACACACTATCAACAGCCCAGAGAAAAGCAAGACACAATTTAGCTTAATGCTAGATAGCTTGCTGAAAAAGAAGATTTCCTTGAGACTGCTCTCTGGAGAAACCATGAAGAAGAAGGTACGTCCATCAAGGATAGAACAGTTTCTAGAGCTAGAAACAGGAATTGCCAAATGAAGTAGATCAGCTGTGCTGGGATATGTCCTGGCACATTAAACCACTGTCTTGTCCATTGATCTTGCAGGGCAAGCGATGTATTTCCCACTTCCAGAGATGCATCCCCAGCAATCTCTAGGAATCTGAAAGGTTGCTGGGGACGTGTCTGTGGAAGCGGGCAAGTTGGGGCTCTCTGTTTGCAGGAATGTGTTTCTGGGATCAGGGAAAGCCAGGAAACTCCAGTGCAGTACACAGTCCTGGCACTACGGCTACCAGTCAGCTTGGCTTTCTTCACTTCTAGAGATGCAGCCCAGCAACCTAAGGGTCATATCTCTGGAAATGGAGAAGCTCAACTTTCCCTGCTTGCAGAAACATGCCCTGGAGATTGCTGGTGGTATGTCTCTGGAAGTGGGGAAAGCTACACAGGAGTTCCTTGAGACCGAGGGGCCCGATCCTGTGCAGGAGGAATTCCAGAGCGTGCAGGTCTGAGCTCCTCAAGTCCAGCAAGTGCCTGCCTAAAGTGGCAGGAAAGTGCAGACATCTCTAGGCTGCCTTTGCTCTCCCACCCTAAGCAAACATTTATACACTGCAATTAGGTGGCACAATTTCATATTACCTTTGGTTGTGGCCACACCGTTATACAATAAAAAGGTATGGATGTCTTTTTGCTGTCACTTTGTGGTGCCAGAAAAACTTTTTATGGTGGCACAAAGGATGGCATCTCTTTCTACCCTGTGAAACCAGGCTACCAGGGAAGAAGTTAGGGAACAAGTACACTAGAGAAGAAGAATCTTTGGAGCTACTGCTGGACGGCAACAGCAGACAAGATATGCGAGAGGAAACATTACTGCTGCATTGGGAACAAGCAAAACAGCTATAGGCCTAGCAGAGAAGAATAAGCATCTACTGGACATATGAGTTTGGGTGAAAAGGAAAAAATGTTGGGGGATCCAGCTCCTAATTACATGCTCTAATACTGAGATTCTGGCATGTAAGTATCTTGATAGATAAATCCTTTGCTAAAGTTATTTCAAGTATAACAGAAGAGACTCCAATATGATTCAATCTGTAGAAATGCACACATAATTCATTATTTACTGACAAACAGTTTGCAAATCTTATGCACCCAAGATCTTTCAAAATAACATAAGAACTCAAGACATTATTGTTGGCAAAATATTATTGTTATTATCAGGTAAAAAGGGATACATGGAAACACAAAGCCTTGACAGTTGGGAAATTATCGTTTGTGTCATCAATAAAACCTGTAAATGAAGGTAGTCCAACTTCTGGGTGGCAGGGGCCACATGCCCTCAGGCCCTGAGGCTACATAAAGCATGGGCTGCACATCACAGGGGCAGCCCTTCTGGCATCCTTTGCAGGTAGCCCCTCACCCTCCAAGCATCCAGTTTGAGCAGCCCAGTTCCTCTCCCAGCCACGTGCACAGCTCAGTTCTCCTCTTTCAGGCCGCATGCAGAGCACAGATAATGCAGACCCCTCTCTGGCCCCCTCCCACCATGCTGCCCCATCCCCAGGAATGGGGGGGAAGAAAGCAAAAACTGGAAGAGAGAGAAGGAGCCCAGAGATTTCAGCTGCCAGAGCAACAGCTGCAGGAGTTCCCAGGCTGCATGTTAGTCCCTTGCAGGCCAAGATTTGGATAGCCCTGGGGTAGATTAATGCAGTAGTTCTGCTCCATACAGTAAAACAGTTTAGCAGTACATCATAAAGTAACATGGCAGCAAACAGTTTGTTTAGTGTATAACTTCAGGCTGTAACAATATTACCACTTTGTCCACGAGTAGAAAGGTAAGTTTTCCTAAGGCTGAGTCTAATTTTCATATTGACCTAAATGTCACCTGCATATCAATGGACATCTGTATGCTGATTTTTCCCTTCACATTTATAACTTCAGTGAGACTAACTCAGACTTTAAAAGATCCATGACAAAAATATCCAAAGATTGCCAACATTTCTTCAAAGTTAATCAAGTTCCAAATCTGGTGCCATCCCAGCATGTAGCCTGCTGGCATTCTCTTGAATGGAGGGATAATTGCTAAAGAGAATGACAAGCACAAAAAAATGCAGAAACTTACCTTTCACCAGTTCTGACATGCTACTAACACTTTAATGGATGCAGTTCCTCTAAATGATCAATGTGTACTTCTCCAACCACATACAGTACATTTAGTAAAGATATAATCCTCATGATCACTATAGACACTCAGACCAATCCAATAACCAGGATTCAAAAAAACAATAATCGAGTTCACATTCAAGTGCATATCAGTCTCCTGAAAGAGGGAAATTTACCGTAAAATGTTCTTGCGATTTGTAGTTCTCATCCAGGTAAACCCGGGCTCTGTTATAGTCTTTCATTGCATCACTTGATAATAATTCTCTGAAAGACATAAATGAAAGAACGACAATATAAATGGAATGAAAAAGTTTATATCTACCTTAGTCACTATATTCAACATGTTCCTAACACCCCTTAAAGAAAGAATAGAGCTACTTCCCATTTTGATGGATATTTTAAAGGCTTTCAAGGCTTATGAAATACGTCAGACTGAAAGCCTCAGAGACTGAAGAACAGAACAGGTACACCACAAATAGCTGCAGTTCAAACTCCATCACACTGCTGAATCAACATGCTTTAATTCTAATCTGAAGGAAGAGAGGGTACTTCAATCTCCATACCAATTCAGTCCTTGGTTTTCCTGCCAAAATTGTCAAAAACGGAGTGACAACTGGTGATTTAATGGTGTTGCCACCGAAATATGCCCTGGTTTAGTATCATCAAACATATAAGCCCCGCTATTTTAAAGTGATCTCCAGATTGTCTGGAGATCAGGAGTGAAAAGTAACTTCAAAAAATCAAAGTTTCTTGAGAACTTGGTATGCCAGCCTAGTGGACTTTAAACTCTGAGTTCCAGGTTCCCAGTCTCTGGAAGACAATGTCTGCAAAGATCCTGACCAGTACATCTGACTGCAGAGTAAAAATACTTGGATGGCTTGGGTAAAGGCTGACTGGCTCATAAGGTAGAACTCAGAGTAGTGAAGATGTACCAAATGGTTTTAATGCTGATTTGCAACTATACTAGTGGGCAGGTCTCCAGTAGAGCTCAGCATACGCAGCGAGGCCTGTAAGCTGTTCTAGATTCTACTGCTGTCCCAACAGATCATTTCATGCTTACAGCAATCTTTCATTTTAGACTCCCTCCTCTAACAAGTCCTGGTAGTCTCCGACTCCTTGTAAACTCTTGCTCCCAGTCACTCTTCCAACATTCTCTACTGCCCTGCTCAACTACCTCAAGAAATTAGGTGCATAAGGAACAGGTTTATCCTACAATGGTCAGAGATTGTTTTTCTTTGTCAAGACATGTCATGCATGGAGCTGAACAAAACTTAGCAGGTATGACTTAGTAGCCCTGTAAATGGTGATCTTAAAGTGCTCTATCAGGAGGCTTTTAAAGAAGAGGACACCAGTCAAAAGTACTTTGAAGAATACTGATCTAGCAAGAGGAGAGCACGAACTGCTATTCCATCAGAGCTCTGCAGATGAAAGTCTATTCCCATTTAGCAGCTATAACCTTTGTCTACCCATTCCCCTTAAGTCTAGCAGGGCAGGTACTTCCAAGTAATAGTTGGAAATAATTTTCAAAACACCAAGTAGTAATGTGCCAGTCAGTGAAATAAAGCAAAAACTGTCACCTGACAATTAACTTCACCCTAGCCCCTTGCTTGCCTCAGACAGAAACTTCAGGTCATACAAACGCAAAGAGTGACAGAGCAGGCAGACCCTTGCCCTCCATAATGATCAAAAGACAGGTTTCTGAAGAATGACTCTGAATAAAAGGGATAGAAGATCTCCACTTCCACGATTGCCATTTTAAAACCTAGCCCGTGGTCTGGAATGTGGTCTATATATTTGTCAAACTAGGACAAAGAATGGAATCTACTCTCCTTATGATTAAAGTAACTCTTGCAGGCTACATAACTCTAAATAGTCAAGGGGTGGGAAAATGTCACAGGTCTCAAAATCCATAGGCACAACTTTGCATTTTGATGATTTACAGTCTTAAAGCAATTGCTGGTTCCAATTACATTTCTTATTTCAAATGCCCCGAAGTATAATATTGGCCTCAACAGAAAAAGGAAAGGAATACAGGTTTTCCACAATACCATAAGCATTCAGTTTCCCAAGAACAAAATAGACATTTTAATAGCATTTTAAGTTAACCACTGATGAGCAACAACAGCAGAGGGCACTGTTTGACTACTTACAAGGAACAGTGGCTACATATTATTTTAAAACAGCATAGGCCATTATTCACTTAAAATTTGGCACATTGATGCAACTTGACTATTTACATCAGCTGGCTCAGGTTTTATTAGCAAATCAAGTATTGAACACTGTAGTTACAGAAGTCACTTGTTTCTTAAAATAATTCATTATGGCTATATTTAAATAACTGGAATTTATGGTTCTTTCTGAGAAATGTTTCAACAGTAAATTAGGTGATGTATTAATTTTGTTTCAGCATACTGAAAAGTCACCACAAAAAACTGCATTAATTGTAAAGAGAGAAAAATAATATTTGCAAACAAGGCTACTAAGCAAAATTACTCCAATAAGTGTAACTACAAGTATTGGTCTGTAAAAAAAACAATTTCTAAATAAATTTATGATATGTTTTCTACACTTAGGAAAAGGGCTTAACTCAGGACTGTCAAACTCACCCTGGGCCCAAGGCTGGATCTGGACAATGGGAACTCCTTGCAAGGCAGATCCAGGCTGTGGCAGCAGTGGCAACAATGGGCCAGGCAGCAGCAGCAGCCACAGGCCAGACAACTTGACAACAGGGTGACAAAGGGCTGTGTCTACTGGGACCTGTGTCCACCAGGGCCAGGGGGCCCAAGATACTAGCAACAGCATCCCACTGGCCATGCCTCAACTCCATGGCCCACTAGTCGCCCAATGGGCCAAATGGAATAGCTCCATGGGCCAAAATCCAGTCCGCAGGCCCTGTTTGACACCTCTGGCTTAACCAGAGGCGTTCATCTCTATGACTCAGGGTACTCAAATTTTAAGGTTTCTGAAATTCTTTAGCCAGCTCATTTCACTCTGTGGTGCACTACATCATTGCAAAGGAAATTAAAATGCTAGAAAACACAACTAATCAAATGTCAGTCTTATTGGTTTAAACCATCTTTAATTTCTCCAGGTGAGATTGGCATCTAAATGAGCACATGGAGCCTTCACAACGTAAGTTCAATTTTCAGGCCTGTATTTAAAAGAACTAATCATAGAATCATTTTTATAATAAATTATCTAATTCACAGGAAACTTTTTAAAGCCAACGCACCAATAAAAAACGGCTAAACACTAACAGGAGATCTTACCCTCATTTTAGGCATATATTATAGAGCTAATCATTGTTACAATTAATACTTCAACCTAACAAATTATCTAAAGATTATGAGATGAAAAAATATTACATCTTCCATTAAACAATTGCTCAGCAATTTGAAAACCTTAACTTTTTACCTTGTAGTACTTACAATATGTATTTATAGTTTAATTCACAGTCTCCAGTTTTCTTGCTTCTTATATCCTTCTTTTTGCATTGTTTCGTATCTACTGGCTTTCCAATGCCACAAGCCAATCAATTTAACTTTATCCCCAAGAGTTTGTATTTGTTTACTCCAAACAATTTAGGACCATATGAAAACAGAGTAAAAGAACTGCTTCATTTTTAGAGTGGTCACCATTTAAAAATTTAACAATTGCCTGAGATGACTAAATTATCTTATGTTGTCATCTTGAAATAGTCTCTATCACTTCCTTTTTTGTAAATATAGGAACTAATGACAATATAGAAACAGGTATTTTTCAATTTAAGACAAATAGTCATGTAAATTCTGGAGGGACTACATTTTCAAATGTCAGATATTTTACATGTAGTACCTTGTTTGCCAACTGAAAGTGTGGAAAAATGTACCTTTTACTTATTTTAAAAAGTAAAGTTGGGAACCGCTGCTGCTCAGGATTGTACTGTTACTATCTGTCTTAATGCCACAGAATCATACAGATGAATATTAACTAAATTCCTGTACCTTTAACCCTGAATGAAAAACAAGGTTAAAACTAGAAATTTTGCTGCAAAGGTGGTGTGAAAGAATCATGCAAACATAGTTACACATACATATTGTTTGATGTTGTTACAATTGCTATGTCTGTCTAGACCAGGGGTGGGCAAAATGTGGCCCACCAGGCCATTCTATCTGACCCACAGGGCCCCTAAAAATTTTAGAAAATTAATAGTTATCTGCTCCTGGCTGCCTGTCATGCGGCCCTCGATGGCTTGCCAAAACTCAGTAAGTGGCCCTCCATCCAAAATAATTGCCCGCCCCAGTCTAGACAGTGATGAAGTAAAATTATACTGTCATAAATTAATTTGCTGTGCAAAAACAATATTATCTAATGACCAAATTTTAATACTTCATATACTTCAAAATTCAGAAGCAATGTGCTGTTGAGACCATATATGCTCTCTTACTTCTATGTGTCACAACCCAAAGTTGTGGATTTTTTTTGATTGTGTGCGCTTCGGCACCACTAAATTATGTTCCTGCCGAATTGCAGTTCTTTTGCATGACGGAGTGTTCTGTTGTTATAGAGAACCCGCGTGCAGAAAAGTGTTTCCCGCCATTTTGTAGCCTTCTTTGCATTGTGCATTTCTCTT